TGAAAAACTTACAGTTCTAGTTTGTTATTATTTTTGAGGACAAATACCTTTTCATGTTACAAAGTAGAAAATGTATTTGCATTAGAAAGAAGTGCTAATGGGTAAGAAAATACAAAATTCCCACTAGCAAGACGTGCTGACCAAGATGACTGTGATAACAAGGTTACAGTAAACATTCTAAATCAAACTCTATTCCTGGATATAATCATTTAGTTCCTGGCAACTTCAATGGGAGTTGTGTGTGTCTGTAGAATGTGCAGAGTTGCTTACAGTTTCCATATGTTTGGAAACTCTTAGAAGCAGAAGCCACAGCTTCCTCTTGGTACTCATCTTCTCAAACGTGTCATCACTGAAATGATCACTTCTGAGACACTGGGATATTAATACAGCTTTAGTATGGCTCTGTACACTGCTCCATATTATGAATTCTGTATTTGTCATTTAGATTCTGAAAACTTCTGCAGTCCCCTTTAATTTCAAAATGCTTCTTACACTTAGTTCTGCACAAACTGGCCACACTTGTCAAAACACAGTGACTTATAGCAGAGCACAGTGGGTCCTATGCATAAAAATCTAGGTTATAAATGTCTTCTGCAGTGCATGAGTGTTTTTACGATCTAAAAACTTTTTTAAGAGACAAAATTTATATTACAAATAAGATTTAATTTTAATATTATTTATATTATGACTCCAACCTATTGTATCCAATATTTTTTCTACTTATCTATAAACTAGAATTTTTCCCTCATATAGAATTTTGAGATTCCCTCTCTGGGATGCGTGTTCTTACCAGCCATCATTTTAATGATATATAATAGTAACCTGCCTTGAGAGAGAGGGGTTTCTGTTGATGTATAGCTGTTTAATAGGTTCTCACAGAACACCAACGATATGTTGCAACCATATATCATCACAGGAACAGTCAGCAAGATCAGGAGTTCAGGGGATACACATGACCAGAGTACAACCATAAAGAAAAATGAAAAAGAACCACAACGCTACTTCTGGCAATTCTGACAGTTTGTGGCTAAAGGTATCCCCAGAGCTGGAGGTTTAAACATCACATGATTTCTGGTACAGGCCTGAAGTGACAATTCTGAGGTCATAAAAGCAGCCTAGAATATTAGCATCAATAATTTCATTCTCTTCTACTGTTATTATTTAAACACCTTCCACTGACAAAAACTTGTACATATTTTCAAGTGCAAAACCTCTGATGATAAAGGGCTCAAGTTGTGTGCAAGAAAGTACACAGAAAGCTATTAGTCATTCTTACTTATGAGAAGCCATAGCAAGCAGGGAAACTAGCATGTTTCAGGTGGAAAACAAATACATGACATATTTGATACTACACATGATGTTAGAAATTGCTGAAGAGATCCAGGTGATATTACTTCTAGAGAATATGAAGCAAATATTTTAAATTACTGTTTTTATTTTTAGTATTTATAAGCATGTTCAAATTTCACTGATATTACAGCAAAGGTAAGATTACACTTAGTAAAAGAAGAATTTTTTTTAATATATACACACACACGTATTTACCTACTCATACTATAGATGCTCACATATTGAACCATGCCAACATTCATATACCACAGCTATATGTGAAGGAAGTTGCACTATAAACCAGGATATAGTTCTAGTTTTTTGTTTTAATCAATAGGAAATATCCTCCTTAACATTACCTAGCTTTAACCATTATACACTTTTTCAAATACAGAGCGAATAGCTTAAAACATAAGGTGACCATTTCATTAAGTAAAAGATTATGATTTAGGTATCTGCTGGAAGAGAATTCAATGTATGCCTTGCTTTTTAATTAAAAGCTATTAGTTTTACATGTTATGCAATGCTGTGTAGCTAAAAACACTGTGGCCACATGCTTTCATGATGCTTCTTATTCTAAAGGCAAACTTCAAATTCTTAAGCATAAACTACTCAAAGTTTGGGCTTTTGTGAGCTCTGGTAACAAAAAAATAATACACCATGCGCGTCAGAGAATTCATGCAATTAAAAATCCTCATTCATACCTAATAACCAGCAAATCTGCACAGGGGATTCCAGCACAGAACTGAGACAAAATAGATTTCCACCACCAACCTGCCCACCCCATGTGCAGTGACCCTAAGTACTCAAAACTAAGCATCCTTTCCTACATGGAAAATAAGATCACAGCATGAAAGTCTACAGCACAACCAGTAGCTTTGACTTTCCCTCTTGCTTTTTGCTTGCCTAGCATGAGTGAGATGAAATATTAATACAAATAAATAAATGGATAAATAAAATTGAAACCATTATTAAAGTATTCCATCTTTATCACATTACTGTTATTAATGGTGTAGTCTGGTAATTCACGTAAACATTAAAACAGATATAAAACAAAATATAATTTCATTCAAGAAATAACCAGGAAGGGTTATTCTGCTTCTAGGGCCGGGAAATCAACAGATCTAAAATACAGTTCAAATTGACCCAATTCTGTGATTGTCAGAGTAAATTTTCTTGCCAAGCCATCGTTACTACTAATGATAATGATCCTTTAAAGTGATTTTATGTTCTACTTGCATAATGAAGTTTTGTGTTGGATATGATTCCACTTACACAGATTTGATTTTAGAAGAAAATTTTAAGGACTTAAAAGCAGTGTCTTTTTCAAAGAAAACCATCACCCACTGTTCTCTCTGAAGTTAAAGATCCACAAGTAACTTAACCAGATATTTAGATACCTTCTTTCAATAAGTGACAACTTCAGCTTTAACATATCAGTAATTTCCAAAAACTTCACAAGCTTGCACTAGATAAATAATGAAATTTTAAAGATGAGTTTTTGAGACACCATTTCAAACTGAAACCTAATTATCGCAGACAGTCAACATCTTGCTAATAGAGCTCATTTCTTGAAAAGTATTTTATTTCTGTATGAAATGTATAAGACATTCTTTTATGTAGCTTACTTTTTCTTCTATTTTATTCTTATTTTGCATCTCTCTCTTCTGTTTAAAGAATAACCCTGCTTGTTTTATTCTTACTTCTATAATTTATGTATGACACATCCAAGCTTACCTGGATTAATTTGTTCTGTAAAGATAACAACAGAAAGTTAAACGAACCATTTCAAAGTTGACATTAGCTATTTCTTCTTGTAAGTTCATTTGTTTTAGGTCGGTTTCATCATTCAAATCAAACTGCTGAATATACTGATCTTTTAGAAAAAAGTTTTAAGGCAATTGCCAGGACAAGTTCCACATAGCCTATTCATGATACACTAAATTTCACCGTGGTTTCCCATTGCATACATGGCAAGAACTGACTTATGCCAACAGAGTTGCATTGCTATTTAATACAATTAACATTAAATTCAAGAAAATATGGATAACAGTTACTTATAATCATTTCATTGATCAAGATATAAAATCGCCTCAGAATTCAAAAAATTCAGATACATTTAAAATTGACTTTCAAAGATGATAATTTCAAAGTAGGCGACAATATGAAGTATAGCTCACCAGGATGTTTTTTGTTCGTTTGTTTTTTGTCTTTTTTTTTTTTTTTTTATTTGAGATTTTATTCTTCATATTTTTATTTTATGAATCTGCAAATACTTAAAAGAGCTTGTCCAATATTTTTTGCAGATGTCAAAGAAGTGGGTATGTGGCAGTTACTAAGGGCTACATCTTCATAGATTCTAGTCAATATGTCTCTTGCCCTGATGTCATTGCAGCTAGAGGGCTGATTACACTTATCTCCATGCTGCATAGGTAAAATGTACTAAAGGCTTTTTTCCCCTCTTTCTGCTCATTCTAACAAGTGGTCTTCACTATTTGACTACACTAGAGATGAGTGCAGACCACTTACTATCTAATTTATTTATCTGTTAGCTCTATTCACAACCTAGATTTGGATGTCAACAATACCTGAAAGAAAACATTACAAAAACTAGACCTCAAAAAAAAAAAAAACCCAAAAAAACCACACTTTTTGTTCTGTGATGTTAGAATAAGTTCTACTGATGGAATTATTATTTTTTTTAACCTTCATTTCAGTGTAAAATTTCCTTCCACACTGTTACTAATACCTGTTAAGATGTCAGAAGATACCTACTTGCACAACAACATTATTATACTTCTTTCTTCTCCACATAGTGAGGCGTAATTCCTATACAGCCATAATTACTAGTTTCTCAAGCAGTATTTGGAAAGACAATTTTAAAGGTCCATAAGAAAGATTTCTGTGGAATGATCTATACCTGTAATATTCTAAACATACAGGAGCAACATACACATTATTTTTAAAGCCAAAGTTACTTTACTAAGGAACATCTTAATGTATGTTGATGAATGTAAACTGAATTATGAATTAAGTACAAATCCATATGGAGGTCTTCTCAATTCAGTAAGTTATGTTTTTCACTAATTATTATTCTCTCCGTATTAGCCCTCAATATGTTACTAACAATACACTGTAATATCATGTAAGACTTCACGAGCAAAAAATACCCAACAAGTTTGCCACTGCCACATTACTTACAGCTCTGCTAAAGATAAAAATAAATAAAATAAAAATTCAGCCTTTGGACCATGATGATGTACGTTATCTGCATACAATCAAAATATAATCACTCCATCCACCTTTGAATAAACCCTGTAGGAAAACACTCTTCTGATGCAATAAACAAAGTGCTTTTCCCAGCACAAGTGAAATCTTTAAAAGTATTTTTATATTGAACTCAATATTTTTTAAATTAAAAAGTATATATGAAAATTTTGCAGAAGAGTTTCATCCAAAAATAAAGTAAAAACATAATTTGCCAAATGTTACTATTAAAATTAAGGAGAAAAACCTTTGAAATCTTTTTTAGACGTTTGCCAGTCCTCAAAAGATGCCTACTGATGTGTATAGTCTTTAACTTGTACTTTGCACAGTACTAGCCCTTAAGGAGGCCATTTAAGCACTTTGTATCCCAGAACAGGCCAGAGAAAAGCTAATATCTAGCCTACCTGAACCAAGAAGCAGGATGCAGTAGCTACAGTTCATGTTTCCAGTAACTCAGCCACATGACTTTTGAACAAGAACTCCCTTGTATCCAGCTGGTTTGGAGCACAGACAACTGTCTGCAGCTGTGAAGAAAAACCCTAATGATTAGAGAGAAAAAAACCCCAACAACATAACAACCAAAACACAAACAAACAAGCCACACACAGCTCTTAAGTCTATCCAGTATTCTTTGACATAATATGCTGTATTTTTGACAGAAAAAGAAAGTCCAAAACTTCACATAGAAAGCAACAGAGATTTTTTTTTTTATTGAATTATTTAAATATCAATGCAAGCTTAGAGGCTCCAGTGAAAACATAGATCTACTGAAGATTAAACAAACAAACAAACAAACAAGATTTTCCACAAGAAAATTGGCAGTTTATGGAAACTAGTTAAACCAGATAAGACGCAAAACTGAACTTTGCAGAAGACTTTCAGTGAACGGAATAAATCATTTTGCAAAAAAAAGATGTGAAAGCAAGAGGAAGAGGCGTAGAGCCAACATTGATCAAGGGAGTAGAGAAAGCTGCAGTAAAGTTGAAAAGGCAGAAGAAAGCTCAAAGATAGGTAAAGATAATTTCAGTTTCCTGTAAAAGCAAGTCCCTGCATCAAACAGACAGGTTGAAGGAAACAGGTACAAAAATATTTACAAAGCCCTTTTAAAGATGTTCCATGCACTATGAATACTGCATATACCTCTAAAATTCTAGTAATAAAGCCTCTTCTTATATAGAACTTTATTTTCCTAATCGAACTATTCATGGAATTTCTTGTGGAGATTCTGTTTGTTTGTTTGTTTGTTTAACATACAGAGACTAGTCCATCATTACTAGTTTTACCTAATATATTATAAATGAAGGAAGGAGAGAAATAAAACTTAAAAAAACAAAACAAAACCCCAAATCACAAAACAAAGAATAAAATATTAAAGATGTGTTGAACCCAGAATTTCAGCACGCTAAACAGAATTAATAGCTTTTTACATTGTTTTGAAAACAAATACTGTTTTTTATGTCACATATTAACAGAACTTAGCCTGCTAACTTTCCTTTTTCTCTTTATGAATTGCTTTGTATTTCAGAATCTTAATGTGAATTAAACTCTTTAAAAATGCTGGAAATTCTCACAGAAAGAGACAGTACTGTCAAAAAATTACAGTCATGTCACTTTTCCCCATTTTCTGTTTCTTAGGTCTCTGACAGTTTCAGAAAACTAGATTTCCTGTTCAGCTCTGAAAATAATTAGCTATCTCCTGCATTTTCAAGAGGATTTCTCTATTGTTGAACTGATTTTTTTCTAATTAACATATTGATTTTTATTTTTTTCTGATTAGTATCTCTTTTATGACTGCTGTAAAATGGTTACAACTAATTGGGAATACTAACAAGATATTCATATTTCATCATTTCTGGCGCTGACTCCTTTCTATGGTGAAACTTATTTGTACCTCTACCTGTAAATGTAAGTTTTCCCTATTGCTCTACAATTAATAACACAAAAAGACTTTTTGTCAGGCAAAGCAATAAAAACAAAGAAGTATTTAAAGTTTTGTACATACAATATTACAGCTCAGCTGACATAGATTTAAACTACAGAAAATTGGCACAAAATTGATCTATTTCTGGCATTGAAAATAGAGATTAATCTTCTTTTCTATTCTACACACTGCGTCACAACTGCCATTGTTACCAGAGAAGCAGAGCTACTACTTTCCATTTCCTGTGCATTTTAAACAGTAAACCCTGTCTTTAAGGAGACACCATTCTTTATCAGCCAAGTCTTTTACTGTTTATTTATTTTTTTTCCTTATAAAAGCAATAGAAAATCACATTTTGTGAAATCTGTAACATATATTTTATACAAAAACCGTTTCACCTCCAAAAATCAAAGTTGTTTTATTTAAGTTTAATTAAAAGAAATAGCATTTTGTTAAAATGAGTTTTGTTTAGAGAGTTTTTAAAAACAAAAGAGGGTGAGACTAAAGAGAATCCAGATGAACTGAATACATGTGAGAAGTGTTGCTCAGCTGATTGATTTTCTGATTGCAAAACTGATTTTAGCTGAAATATTAACTCTAATTTGATAACACCTGCTGTAAGTTGACCATGCACTAAGAAGAGCCTTCAGTAACAAAACCTTTGCTGTATGGACCATTATTGCTTGTTTTGAAGCTCAAACCAGGCAGAAAAGAAAACCTGGTCAAAACCTTGTTTGTGTAATTTCTTCCTCTTCTACTATCAAACCAAAAGGACTGCTCTCATTTAATCCAGACACTTAGGTGCACAATCAGCTATCAATCAAATTCAAAGATGGTGCAGTCGCACCTGAAATATAGCAATAATTTGAAAATTCAAAATGACAGGATGATGACAATACAGTTCCTGGTTTCAAAAAAAAGCTTATGCAGCTTAGATATGGAAGAAGTTTATTTTCATGAACATACATTTTCCCCCTCATTATGTCTTTGTAAACATAAAAAGATAATAATCAATTATTAGAAGCACACCAATATTAAATTAAAAACACACTCTATAGTTACAAAAAAAAAAGGCTCCTATTCTATCAAGCTACCTATGATTTATACTACTGTGACTACATTCCAGTCATAACAAATCACTTCACCTAACAACATCAAGCATATTTTACCATAGGGGATAACATTTTAGACTTAAATACTTCAGCTCTAAAAGTTGACAGATACTATTTATTCTGCACATTGTTATCCTACAAAAGCAAGCACAGATTTCCTGGCTCTTTTGCTAACTTTTGTTTAAAGAGAAGCAAGTTTCCTTTGTGATTCTCGCAAAGCCCAACCAGTATTATGGTCTGCAGTTACTGTTTTGCTCAGGTGCAACAAATTAAGAGAGGAGAACATAAAATAAATGCATGGTGCGGTGGCTATAAAACTTTTCCAGTGCTGGGGTGAAGCTAATCAAAAGTAGCTTTAGAAATGATAAATGCTAAGACTGATACATGTAGTCTTCATGGAAAATATACTAGCTAAGTACAAATGCATGTAGGGAGTACTCACTTGGTACAACTATTTTTAGATATTAAATGCTTTAAAATAAAATCTATTTTCTTCTACTGATTGCTTTTTCTAACGTCATGACTTCTCAGATTTTCTCTATTTCATGTGACAGTTTTATCCATGTTTTATTGTGTAATGGATAAAAAAGTTCCCTGGCTGAGAAGGCCCAGCAGTCACTGGAGCAAAAAGCTTGCCAGCTCCCATAATTTAATAAAAAATGATAAGATTCCCAAATTGCCTTTCTCCAAAATATACCTGCACGGCTCACATCTAGCTCAAAACCTCTTTTCTCACCTTGCACCTCTGCAGTAGTCCTTTTGCTCATACTGTTTTTAAAAGGAGCTGCGGCACAGAGGGACAATAGCTGAGATGATATCTAAAACTCCTCCAACTTCACTGACAGGACACATTTACTCTAGGGAAATGAAGCCACTGTCAGAGATAAGCCCTAGTTTAAAGTAAGCACGCAGAAACTTGCACAAATCAGCATGGCTGTGAGGAGTTTCCTCACAGGAGTTTCCTCACAGGGTGGGGGGGTGCACACCTCAGACATGGCAGAATGCGGAAGTTGATCTTGCATGTGATGGCTGCCATTGCAGCCTCTGCTGGCAGCTGAGGAAGATTTTAGGAGTGGTCAGGTGTCACGGTATGAAAGCAAGACTTCTGATGAATAAGGTTTTGCTTTAGTTTCACCACAATTGCTTATCTGCAGAGAGATTTGACTGTGTACAGTGGGTGCATGTGGAGACATCTTTGGTGGGGTAAGGTAGGGGATGCTCCGTGCTGCATACAGCAATGCACAGCTGGGCCCAGCAGTGACATACAGGGTGCCTCAGAGGAAATGTGGAAGGAAGTGACAAAAAAAGTGTGAGGAACAGACTTGGAACGGCCAGGATAGAGAAGGGACAGAGAAGGAGGAGCGTGTCAGCTCCAGAAGGCCCTGGGGTTTCAGCAGCCATCCTGAGTCCATCTGCCTCAGGCCTTGGCTCCCTGACATCTGTGACAGCAGGAGAGGCTGAGGAATGCAATTCCTCCCTGTATTTTAGCAAATACGCTGGGGAGATGTCTTTTTTCCTTTAAAGTCCTGCCAAAACTTAGACAAAACAGAAATTCTGTGTTTAAGATAAAGTCAAAATTCAGAGCTTTAAAAATTCACAGATTCATAAGTCATAGTTTATGTATGACTCATTCAAATTTCATGCAAATGTTCACTTCTAAGGCTCGACTCTTCGGCCTAGAATTTAAGCTGAATATTTCACAGGGAGATGTGGACCTGGAGCACAGTGTGATTACCTTAGTGATGGTACTGCCATGTTTCCATTTCATAAATGGGAGATATGTCAGCCTATAAGATGGAAAAAGGGATGTTTTGAAACCTGAGGAAGTCTTTGGAGAAAATTCAGATTTTGACAGAAGGTTTGAAGTAAATTTCTTCAGTTTATTTGATAATGATATTCCTGATACATACAAAAAAAGACAAAGCCACAGAATTTTTTTTTTCTCTGCTTCCCTAATTTCTCTCTTCAACATTCAGCAAAGGTATGTTTGCTTTATGGGATACTTAAAGAGCTCTAATGACATCAAATTCATTCGACAGCAAGTGTCTGTCAGAGAAGCTATAATTATAGGATGTTTACTCTGTTATTTTAGCTCATGTATATCCTTAACAGCTGAGCTAATGTTTTCTGTGTGATTGTGGCAAAGTTGTTGAGCCAGTCAAATCTATCAGTCTGCACCTAATCTTTCCTGACACTATGCTTAGAAATTTAATGAGACAATACCCAATTTAACAAACAACAGTTCTACAGCTCATTCTCTCTTGATGCAGAGAGCTGCCTTTTTCTGAATAACTTTTGGTTAAAATGTCATGTGTTTAAGCTGCTGTGACCATCTGTTTTTTTCTCCAGTAAATACTGCGGAAGGTACAGGAGTGTGCTAAGTATAACACACACTGTAAATTTTAAAAGTTAACAAAATTGGAGCTGGGGAGTAGACAAAAAGGTACTTGAGAAGGAGAAAAAAATGTGTTTATCTTAATTAAAAGGGCTG